GGACACAAGGGCGATGCTGGGGAGAGCTCTGAGGGCAGCCCACTGCTGCCACCACCTCCACCACCACCCCCTCATGTCACCCAGCTCAGAGCTGCCCCTACAACAGGCAACAGGGGACTGAGGTCAGGCCTGCAGCCCCCAGCTCCTCCTCGGAAGGGTTTTTCTTCTGTCCTCACCTGTTTGTGCTGTTTCAGCAGCTTCTTCAGCTTCTCCTTCTCCTCCTTCTCCCTCTGGCAGTCATCCTTGGAGGCTCGCAGCTGGGAGAAAGGAAGGGTTAATGCAGAGTCCACCTCCCATGTCCATGAGGTGAGGGGTGCTGCAAAAAATGCCTGCACCAGTCCCCTCATCAGATCCCCAGGAGGGGGCCAGAATGAAGAGTGAAAGGAGATGCTCTGGCAGGGACAAATGACAGCAAAACCACTGCTTTGTTCCTTCTGTCCCAGCTCAACCTCTGCTCGAGATGGGTATGGGTCTGCGAGGCAGGGATGAGCACCCCTCTGATGCACACACAAGGGACATGGGGCTCCCAGGTGCTGCCTGTGGTGCCCAGCACTGCTCACCTGGTTGTTGGAGAGGACCAGCTGCTTCTGCAGCTTCTCCAGCTGCTGCTTCAGCTCTTCCTTCTCCTCATTCATCCTCTCCCTGTCACTCCGCTCCCGCTGAAAGTCCTCCTCGAAAATTTTCACCTGGGGGAAGGGAGGGGCATGGGTGCCTCTGGTTGAGGGTGGACACCTCCCCCAAGCACTCCCCATCACTGCATTGCCATCCCTGACCCCACCAACTATGCCAAGCCCTAGACATGGGGGTTGGCACTGCTGTGGTCCCTCCTGAAGGCCTGGAGGATGCTATATTCGGTATGTTCCCCTCCACCCCCACCCCCACCATGGCAGACACCCGCTAGGACAGCTAGGCTGCTCCCAGCCACACCAGGCTCTTTGCCAGCAAGGTCCAGGGCACACAGCTCCCTCCCTGCCTCCAGCAGCTCTGTGTCCTGCCCTACCTGCTGCTTGAGGAGCTCGTTCTGGGTCAGCAGCTCCTGCTGTGGAACCTTCCCCACTGGCTCCATGGCAAACATGGGTGGTGGAGAGGCCTGGACGTTCAGGGCTTCCTCTAGGGCCTGGAGAGGAAGAGGAGAAGCAGGGAGCGGAGTAAGAGCAGGCTGCTGTGCTCACGACATCTCCAGCCATGGCCAATGTGGGAAGTGGGTACAACTGAGCAAGAGGGACTACAGGCCCCCATCCTCCTTTCTGGGGAGCCTACGGGGAGGTGATGGGCATCATCTGACATGAGCTCCTGCCTGGGCAAGGAGCTGGGCAGGAGGGGGTTGATCAGGGTCAGTTTTGGATTTGAGAGAGGAAAAGAAGCCAGAGAACATAAACGACATTTTGCAGGGAGGGGTTTTGCCCTGGCCCCCACCTTGTTCAGCCTCTGGATCTCTTTCTCCTGGTACTCCCGCTGCCTGGTGACCGGAGCCAGCTGCTCCTGCAGGAACCGCATCCTCTGCTGCAGGTCCCTCACCTCCATGGCCAGCCTTTCCTTCTCAGCCTGCAGGGCCCAGGGAGGAAGGATCAGCCAGGGCAGGGCGACAGGGCCGGCAGCTCCCCGCCGCCCTTCCTGCGGGACTCACCTCTTCCGTTTCAATCCGGGACTTGGCCAGGAGCAGCTTGCGATCGAAATCCCGTTGCTTCTGCTCCCGCTCTGACTCCAGCTCGGTCAGTGCCCTGCGGGCCTCAGCCAGCTCCTGGTGCAGGTCTGTGACCTGCCGGGAAGGAGCAGATATGTTGGCCTGCCCGGAGGGATCCACACCGGAGGGAGGAGGCACAGGCACCCCAAAACCTTCCTCCACAGCTGGTCTGCTCTGAGCCCCGCCAGCTGGTGCCTGGCAGAGATGTGGCCCCCAAACACCCAGCCCTACCTTCTGCTCATACTTCTGCTTCGTGGCTCGGAAGTGCTGATCCCATTGCTTGTTCACCTCCAGCAGCTGCGGGGAGAGAGGGGCAGCTGAAGGGGAGCCCAACCCCTGCCCCAAGCCAGCCATGGTGGTCTCCCCAGCAGCCTCCCCTCACAAAAGTGCCTCAGGGACCAGCTGGGTAAAGCTCCTGGCTCCAGCAGTGCTTCCCTGCCACCCTACAGCCCTGCCCCCATCTCGCCGTGTCCCAGCCACACACCCCTGCTGCCCACTCCCACGCTGCTTGGGGCAGTGCCTCCCTCCCAGCCCCATCCTCACCTCCCTGCGCTGGTGCTCCAGGATCTTCACCTTCTTCTCCTTGGCCTCCAGCTCTCCTCTGCCCGGTGCATTCTCCACCGCGGCCCCGCTCTGCTGGACGCGCATGGGGTGACCCTCAGGGCTTTTGCAGAGGCTGTGCCCGAGGCTGGCTAAACACGAGCCAGTTCCCCTCCCATGGCCTCCCCCATCCCCTCGAGACCCTGAGAAGTCCTGCTGGTCATACTGGGACAAACTGGGAGCTCAAGTAAAATGAGGCCATGTTTGCTGATGCACCAGTGAGCTCCTTGCCTCCTTCCCAGCCCTCTTTGAGGATGACGCTGCCTCCTTACCTGCTGCTGCTCGGCAGCTTCTCTTTTTCCACTGTCCTGGCTGCTGAGTGTCACCATCCTCCGGAGCTCCTGGTTCTCACACCTGTGGGTAGGAAGGGCCGAGTCAGTGGGAAGAAACATTCAGGGCAGCCCTGTCCCCCTACCCACTGCCCACCCTCACCTGAGCTTCTCCAGCGCTTGGTTTCTCTGCTCCAGGTCCCGCTCCAGCTTGGTTCGCAGCTCCTTGTTCTCACTGTGCAGTGTCTCACACAGCGTCTGGGGAGGAATGCAGGCTGCGTGAGGACCACTGCCAGCCCAGGAGCCTGCCTGGCCACCACCTCCCACTGAGCTCTGGCACACGGGTGGGTGTCCACCTTGGGGTGGACAGGAGGGATTTGGTGGGAAAAAAAATGGGAAAAACCCCCACGAAGAGCCCGCCAGCCCTCACTCACCTGCAGAAACGATGTTCTCTGCTCGTTCTTGTGCACCTTGGAAGCCAGGCGCTTGAGCTCAGAGGCCATGTAGCCCATGCGCACGAAGACCTGGTCCTTGCTGGCCTCCTTGGTGCAGCCGCTCAGCGTGTTCTCCAGCTGCTGCAGCTGTGGCAGCAGGTTGGTGTCCTCGTTTGAAGGCTGCTCCAACTCCTGCAGACAGGAAGGGGATGAGGTGTGGTCAGACCGGTCCAGGGAACATTGCAAAGTTCCCTCTCAGTGCAGGTCAGCCTTGTCCCCCATTCAGGGCTGTGAGGGGAAGATGGTCCAGTACTGAGAGACTCTGCTCTTGTTATGCTGAAAACTTGTGTTGGCTTTGTACAGGTTTGATTCCCAGCTGCTGGACATGGGACACCAAGTCTCCGGGTGGAAGGGGACGTTACGGCAGCTCTCCCAGCCCATGGATTCCCCATGCTCCCAGCTTGCTGATAGCAATGGAGGCACCCCCACCTCTAATCCCTTTTCCCCGCTGAGCTCTCCCCATTGGCACCAGGACCAGAAATCCCAGCTCCCAAGACTGTCCTTTCCATGTACGCCCTGTTCCATGCTGGGAGCTGAGGTCTGGCTGTGTGAGGGGTGGTCTTACCCCAGCCCCCATCTCCTCCTTCCTCCCATCCCCTGGCATTGCCCTGCAGCTCCCCTGCCTGCCATGGCACACCAGGCACCGGGCACCCGGGCTCTTTGGCAGGTGGCAGCCAAGAGGGTGACGCAGAGGATTTAAACGGTGGCTGGGAGTCTGGGTCAGGGCACACCCACGAGTGTCACGGCACACCCCTACCTACGCATGAGAGGTGTCCCCAAGGGGCTCGCCCTCCCCTGGTGTGGCTGGTTAGCTCCTCCATTGCCTAGGAGACACCGCTGGCACAACACAGCCTGGCACGGTGCCGGGGAGGAGCTGCTGGCACACCTTTGCCCGCTCTGCTCCCAGCCCTGCTGACTCACCCGTGGGAATGCCCTGGGCAGCACTACTTGGGGCGAGAAGCCCAGCATGCCCCCAGGACCCCAGCCCTGGGGTTTACAGCCCCAAAACTGCCATGGGAGGGTGTGTGCAGGGCACAGCACGGCCAGCTCCTCCCATCAGTGCTGGCTGGCAAGGGGAGGCAGTGAGGATCCGAGTCCTGCTAGAGCACCTGGGAGAGTTTGGGTGCAAGCACAGGACTAGCACTCAGCTCAGGCACCAGCAGCCAATTGCCAAGCAGATGCCATCTCATTCTCCATCACCTCCACCCCAGGAGGGTCCAACAAGATTCAACCCTGCCTGGAGCTTCTCTGGCCAAGACAGACAGGGGTGTGCAATGACAGCATGTCCCCTTACTGGCACACTGTGATGCAAGCTGATGTTTGTCCCCCTTGGGCTCCCTATCCCTTCTGCCCTCCCTTCCAGCACAACATAAAAGCTGGAGCAGAACAGGACAGGGCAGTGCCAGCCAGGGGGATGTTCAGGTGATAGTAAACTGAGCACATGGAGGTGCCTTGTCAGCAATGATGGGGCTTGGAGAAGAGACCTGGTCCTCCCACCCAGTGCGAGTGTCAGGAGGCGAGCATCAGGGCATCGCTGACAGCTCCTAAGGTCATCACAGCCCTTCCTGTCACTGCCACGTGGCACCTGGAGACACCAGTGTCCCCATCTGACTGGGGTTGCTTTGCTGGTCCCGTGTCCAGGCAGCCCAGCCCAACCACTTGTACTCGGGAGCCCCTGGAGGGCAGCCCACACATTGTCCCCATCTTGGCCAGGCGAGAGCAGCAGTACACACTGGGGCACACATACCACTGCTCCCGAGCCCTCTGGCCACAGCGAGACATGGGGAGGACCAGCCATGAGGCTGCGTGGTTCCCTCCTGCCTGCAGACTGGCCAGGTCCCCTCATCATCATCGGTGGCAGAGGCTGGGCACTGCAGCACCAGCACTGTCCTGGGGCCATACATGGGCCTGGCTCTGGGAACGCCCAGGCGCAGTTTTTCCTCCTCTGCAGTTTGCCCAAGGTTCACCCTGACACAGGTCCCCTAGCCCTGACAGCAGCAATGCCACTGAGGTGCCTCTCTGTCTGCCTGCACACCCTCCACACCCCAGCATCACCATCCCACAGCAACCGGCTCAACTCTCCACCCACCACCCACTGAATCCTGGAGCACCAGGGCCACTCACCACTCTCTCGCTCTCCTGGGGAAACCCCTGTGCTTCAACAGCAACGATCTCAAACTCCGAGGAGGATCCCTGCAATGGGAGGCAGCCAGGTTACATCTCCCTGGAAAACGGTGGCCCAGGATGCTCACCATGCTGAGGCAGGGACCGGCAGGATGGGACCACAGCAGGGAAGCTGACCTCTCCTTTCAGATTTATCCCTGTTTCTAGAGGCTAAAGGCTGTCTCCTTTTGCCTTAACTAGATGGAGAGTCTCTCCCTCCAGCCATGCCAGCACCAGCTCATGCATTCATCAGACTCACACTTGGAGGAGATTTCCGTGCTTCTGTGTCCGGCTGGGTGCTGCCCGGGGTGGCCTGTGTGGAGCTGGGATCAGGACCGACAGCTGCGGAGAGGGGAGAGGACATAACTGTGAGCTTTTTGGAGAGCAGGACCTCTCCCCACCTGGTGCAGGGATGCAGAAAGCAGGCACACTGCAAGGTTGGGCACCAATGAATATCTTCTTCCCCAGCTACAGGGATGGGAGAGAAACCTCCCTCCAGGAGAAGTGAGGATGGCAGTGGTTTGACACACTCTGAAAATGAGGGCTGCAAGAAACCCTTGTGAAAGTCTCCTTCACACCCTCTCCCTTCTCCTGAGCTCAGGATGCCAAGCCATTGGGTTATCCCTCCTCAGCGAGCCTCCTGTCTCCTACCTTCAGGTTTCACCAGGTCCTCCAAGGAAGACGATGCTATCAGCATTTTCTTGTCCTTCACGAGGTCTTCTGCTTTCTGCCGCAGCTTGGATGCCTCCACGTGGGACTCCACCAGCAACTCTCCTGTTGTGGGCAACAGAAAGACACTCAAGCTCCCTTCCCCAAGTGCCTGTCCTGCAGCAGCTCCATTCACCAGCACCAAGCACCCTGCTTGGGTGGAAGAGTGCTCAGCATGGTCCTTCTTCATCCAGAAAGAACTTTCCTTAGCCAAATCCAATGGCAAAGCTGTATCAGGGGCTCACTGGCTGCAGAGTCCCCCATGCTGACACACAGGGGACTAGTTACAGGAGGCTGAAGGGCAACAGCGCATCTCCCAGAAGAGCTGAATTTAAGCATGAGTGGTGCGGGGTCCAGCCTGCCAGCGTGGGCGTCTGGCACTAGCAATACAATCTTCCCCCCACCCTGGCAGCTGCTCCTATGCCAGTGAGTCCTGGTCCCAGGTAGGGGCATGGTGACACAACGGGAATTACGAGACAGGTGGAAATTCAGCGGCAGAAGCAGGACTCAAAAGCGGAAGCAAGGTCACGAGACCGAAAGCAAAACCAGGGGTGGGTGGGGGAAGGCAGTCGAGGAAGAGAAAGGGGGTGCCATGACTTGTCTGGGATGTTTCAATGCCAGCACAGCTCTGTTGTTGTGGGGAGCACCCAACAACAGGGTCTGTAATCAACATGCGGGAAAAGCCCCTGGCCTGGAAGGGGTTGTGGGAGGTGGGGACTTTCATCAAGGGCAGAACAGATCCAGGCATCTCCAATCTGCTGCTGCAGGACTCCAGGAAGCTGACCCTCCTCCATCACTTGCTTTTTTTTTTTCCCCCCTCCTGCAGCAATTTATCCCACCATAAAGCACCCCAGAAGTTCAGGAAAAGCCTTGCTCCCTCTGCACCCCCATATGAAAAAGCCTAGACGTTGTGCTTGACTCCCCAGGACAGGGAGATCTTTGCTACTGCCCCAGTGCCAAGACCCTCAGCTTCTTATAGCCCCCCTTCTCAATATAGCAAGAAACCCCCAGGCTCAGCGACCACAGGCTGAGCTGCCCCAAATGCAAGCCTTTTTCCCCCAGCCACGCAGCAGTTACCAATAGACTTGATCCCCTGCATCTTCTCCTTCAGCCGGGCGTTCTCCTCCACCAGCCGCTCAAAGGCCGTGGCTCCATTCTTCTCCATGTCACTACCAGGGTAGTAGATGTGGTAGGGTCCCCTCCCTTCCATGCCCGCCATTCAGTCGCCTACCTCCCAGCCCGGCATCCCTGCAAAGCCAGAGCACAGCGTCACCATCCTCTGGTCTCAGACAATGTTGTGGTCCCCTGGTCCCAAGTGTGTGGGGGTCCGGGGTGCCACACCGATGCAGGCAGGGCTGCCTCACTGCTCGATGGCCAGCAGAGAAGCGTTCCAGGTGAAGGCACTTCCCACTCCAGCCCTGCTTGGGACAAACATGCCAGGCTGACTCACGGCCATGAGAAGTGTCATGCGAGGAGGCATCACCAGCACCTCCAGCCAGGGCCGGCTCTCAGCCCTGTGGGGCACAGGAATCACTGAGGAGGTCACAGCTGCCCACCCCTGCATCCCCATGGGGCTGGAGACCCAGTCCAGGAGCATCCACCCACACCAGCACAGACCCAGGCACCATCACTGGAGCACTCCACTCACCACAGGGTATTTCTGGGGGGCAGAAAGGGCTGCACGAGGCTGTCTGGGGAGGGGCAATGGCTTCAGCCGCAAAAGCCTTTAACTGGCAGCCAGTGGGCTGTTTGGGCATCTCAGCCCCAGGTGTCACCCATCTCCTGGGGGTGATAAAGCAGCTGCTGTGAATTACAGCCCAACCTATCAAAAATGCATCCCCCACCCCAATGCCAGCTTGCTATAAAGCAGGGCAGTGTGGCAGCCGAGATGGCCCTGGGGGTGACACCGGCCAGAGCTGGGGTGCTGCCTGCAGTGGCAGCTGTTGGGGGGCACCCCCAAGTGCTCTTTCACCCAGCCAAGTCAGCTGGGTGTTCATGAGCAGGAGGGGGCCAAAGGGAGGGCATTTTGAAAGAGGAAGGGGGGAAGCCTGTATCCGAAACCATCTCAATCTCATACCAATGCTCATGTCACAAGCGACCCGGGCCGATCACCGGTTCGGATGACCTGGCTGCCAAGGAGTGGCAGGGGCTTTCCAGATGACAACTGCCACCTGGCAGCATCCCCAGCTGGAGTGGCAATTGGCACCCGCCTCAGCAGCAGGTAATCATGCACTGCCTCAGCAGTGGTCTGCTTCTGGGAGGTGCATCTGTCCATAGGTCTCACCTTCCTCTTGCTCTGCCTCTTCACCAAGCCCCCCGTGGCCCAAGGCCCCGTCCCCAGTAGCTGGAGGTGGTGACCACCAGGATCTGCCCAGCTGTGGCACAGGGCAGGCTTAGCCCCGGTTATTTCTGGAGCCCATAGCAGCTGACAGGAAGCTGCAGAAGAACCGAGGCAGTTTCTGTGCTGTGGGTACTGCCTTTGGGCAGCATCGCCATAGCCGGTACACAAAATCCACCCTGGTCCCCTGCCATGGGACAAGGAAAAGTCCCGGAGCAGACCTGCTGCTGGGCAGAACAGAGCCCAGCGTGGTGACACATGCACAGCCTGGGAAGCCAGCAGCAGCTCCACCACAGGGACATGCCATCACCTGTGGCCACGCTACCTGCTTGGTCAGCCTGGCAGAGGACAGGGACCTGAGCCTGTTTCTCACCACTGTCTGGTCACCATGATCCAAATCTGAGGTTCTGGGAGGAGCTGGTCAGCCAAGTGATCTCACAGCGAGCATTTTGTGGGGTGTCCATGTCCTCTGCCAGGATGAACCCAGGTGTGGGCTGGGGAAGGTGAGGACAAGCTGCCTTCTCACGAGGGAGCCTTTCCCCATACAGGCGTGCAGCAGCCTGAAATGCCAGCCCCCGTTTTCTTACTCTCCAGACCCTAAACCAGGAGGTTCTCTACCTTGCCCCACAGGGCCCCTACCCCTGTGCATCTCTGCCTGCAAGGCAATGTGGCACCAAACACCCAAACCCAAGCTGCACTGACCACCTCGCCCACAGCAAACCCCATATTCTTCCAGCTGGATGGGGCCATGAAAAGCCTCTGCTGTTCCCAGTTCTCATGGGTTTATCAAGAATTTTTCTACTCGAGGTTTGCACTCCACCAGGGAGATACCAGCAGAGGGATGGCAGGAGCAGCCGGGGTGAGGAACTGAACTATCTGCAGCTGCCAGAATTACAGACCAGCCACGAATTCACTAGCAAACAAGAGCCAGCAAGACAGGAAGGTTTCTGCAGCACCCAAGCCCATCGCCAGTGTCAGGGTGGAGGAACAGCCCCATTTCTGCAAGGAGCTGCTGGGACTGAGCTGTCACCCTGGGGACAGGACCCTGGACCAGGTCACTGTTCCCAGTCCTAGAGTGTTTTGGTGTTTGTTTGTTTGTTTTTTTCCTTAAGAGTTCTGAAAGATAAGATTTGCAGTGAAAAATCTCATGTTTCAATAAACGTGAGATGGACATTTCCAGGGGAGGAAATAAAGGACTGTAGAGCAGCACATAACGATGGTTAAAAACGCAAAGAAAACACAACTAACACAAACTACAGAAGAAAACACTGTACCATCAGAAAACACCTCTTTTTACCAGCCAGCAGTTTCTAAGTTATTCTGATGGTATTTCACATCCCGGCGGTCGAGGGCCAGCCATGGGCCATGGATGTCCAGCTACAGCTCACCCACTCTGTGCCCAGCTGCCGGCACAGGCTGCCAGACGTTGTGGTCGCCTGTGGGCGTTGCTGGTTGCAAGGCAGGCCCTGAGACCTTTAGGCAGTAAATTTTTGTAACAACTCAGCAAAAGGAGAGAATGAGAGAGCAAGAGGGCAGGGGAGACTCCCAGGTGGATAAGAAAACAGGGTGGTATTTAAATAGCCGTGCAGCAGCTCGGGAGCGAGCTGACACTGTGTAGCCACAGCCAGACTGTTCCTTGCTGTCACGCAGGAAGATGCCTCATGGCCACGGCCATCAGCACTGCAGCCCTCGCTGACCTGGCCACGCAGAAGCAGCAGAAGGAAACAATTCCTGCTTTAAAGTGACTTAACAGCTAGCTAAAGTCATGAAGGTAGAGGACGTGAATCAGGCACAGCGAGCGGGCAGGCACCACTGGAGGTTTGCTTTCGGCAGCGAGCCCCAGGGTGACAGCAGCCTCCCGAAGCCGCGGGCTTGCTGGCCCATCAATTCCCATCCTGCGATCCATGGCGGGGGCTCGGCTCAACCCATGGGATTGGGGCTTTCCTTACCCCGGCCTGCAACATTCCCAGGAAGTCTCCTCCCTGTCCGGACTGCACGAGGCAAAAGCAAATCCCTGCAGGCTGCCAGCATCATTTTCCCATGACCGGGGGCTGCCGGGCCTTCAGTGTCCCTCCTCCTCAGAGGAAATGCAAAAGCCACTCAAGATAGACATGATGGAGGAATTTTTTTGCTTAAACATTTTACTGGAATTCAGCAAAATGCCACAGCCTTCCAGCCTGGTTTCTTTTCCACTCCAGCAGCTCTTTAGACCAGGGACAACCACTCCTGGGCTGCTGGGCTGGTCTAATTTGCAAGAAGGCAAAAAGAAGAGCTGGCTTTAGGAGGCAGCAATAAGGAGGGCATTGCAGTCCACTGGGCTGGGAGTAATTAAAGATGAGGAAAGCAAGTGTTGCAAGGCTCAAGTCTCAAAGGGAAAGGTCTGAACCTCTACTTGAAGCATTTTTCTTCCCAGCCTGGCTCACTGCAGAGATGGGGCAGGAAAGGCCCCATCTAAGGTGCCGCAGATGTTACAGCCAGAAATCCCACCTTGCTGAGAAACCCACCTCTGCAGAGGCTTCACAAAACAACCTGCTTCCAATGAGGTTTCTCTCAAGGAAAAGAAAGCATTTCCCTATTGTCAGGTGGGTAACCACAGGCAGCTGCAGAGCTCCTCGCCACGGGTCCAAGCTCCAGTATAGGACACACAGCCAGACCTGGTGGCAATGCTTCCCTGGCAGCACAGTGGTGTTTTATGCAAGACCCCATCTTCTGCCGCAAAGATATCTCACTTCATGCTGCCTGCCCTGTTTCTGCCCCCAACAGAGCTCAGTAGCTATCATGGCTGCTTGACACAGCCTTCAAAAGCAGAGAAAGGTACAGCCAACCC